CTCCTTTGGTTGTCGTTGTCTGGCCCCCCCCCTGCCACAAAGGTGGTTTTGCCAGGGTCTTCCAGGCACTGCAGAAGCATAAATAATACTGTATATGTTAATTAGTCTTATATTGCTGTCTGCCAGGTGAAATGGGCACCACCACGGCTCAGGGAGCACCCGGCTTTGCTGGTATGCTGGGGTGGGATATTTGCCCGCCTGAATCAGGAGTCTCAGGGTCCTCGTACACCACTGCTGGGGCCAGGGATGTCTGGGACAGCGGCGTGAGCCAGCCTGTGCATGTCCCTGGGCTGGTGTGGGCTGCGAGTGCCTGTCCTCGGGGGCCCATGTGAGGCTGAGAGCCAGCAGGAGATGGTGTGCACCTGGGGAGCGGAGCTATGGCTCTGCTCCTTTGTGTGCCGGAGCACCCGCTGGAGACTTCCAAGCCCCCCCCCCCCCCCCCCCGCCCTGCCCCCACGCCCCCCCCCCCCCTCCCCGGCACTGTGGGCGGTGTGTGAATTCGGCTTTCTGCTCAGCAGTGGGTGTGAAGAGACTGTGAATTCTCATCAGCACTTTCATTACCTTAATAAAATTACTTCAGGTCTGTTAAGTTCTTTTGCAGAAAAATAAGACATAATTGCATGTTTTGGTAGCTTCTCCTTCCCCCAAGCCCCAAAACAGCTCAGCACCTGGGTCTCGCTTCCATGGCTGTTCATGAAATCCATGTTGAGGGGCTACAGGATCTTTTCCAAGAGCCTGGACCAGGTGAGGAGCTGGTAAACTCTGCTCGGCACAGAGTTTCTATCAGGATGGCCCCTCTCCCTCTTTCATCCCCTTAGCTTTGACAGATTCTAAGAAGTTATTCAGAGCCATGGTCTTTTTGAACATTATACTGTCAAAGCCTTTCTTCTGCAAGACACAAGTTCTTACCTAAACTCACCTGCTCTACAGAAATAGCAGTGATAATAAGTCCAAAATGAGGAGATTAAGAACTGGCACTCATTTTACCCTATGGCTGACATTCACCAAGGTCTTCCAGCGTTATCCACTGTGCCTTACATTCTTCATTACCCTCGCTCTTATGTTGGAGACTCTTCAAGTACTTTTAGCTTTGCACGCACTTGGGGGTTGTCCCATTCAGGCCTGGATGGCCACCATTTGGAGTCAGTGGCAGCATGTAGAGCAGCACAATCCAGATTTAGCACTGTCTGGGCTAATCGGTGTTTGTTTCAGTGCATGCTTTGCTTTAAAACTTGTATTTTTCTGCATAGCCTCTCTGATGCTAAGTGATAAATTGTGGAAGGTATTTCCTTGTCACCAGCTGTAGCTTGGTCAGAGCTCAAAGATCCTGGTATCCTTTGGATGGCTCATTGACACCAGAGATACAAGGAGTGTAGAGATCAAGAGAAAGATGCCTGGAAGTAAGTTGATGTTAGATGCTACTGAATGGTCTTGGAGCAGATGGTTGGATTAATGGATTAATTAATGGGTTAATCAGATCTTAAATTCCCTGAAGATCCCTGCAATAGAGATGGAGGCCATCCCTACAGCTGGGTTTTGGGAACGGTCTGTAATATAAATAGAGTGGTACCTCCTAGCTGGCGATATTGCTTCACTGGGGCTGTCTGCTAAGCTTCTTGTTTCAGTATCTGCTGTGCGCTGTCTTAGGAGTACAGAAACCTCCTGACAAGTGACATTTCTTTTCATGGGGTGGCTGTAATAATTGGCTCCACCTTAAGGTGGACCAAGGTGGATGCCACACCCACTAGTAACCAAAGTTGTTGGCAACATAGCTTGTGCCCTACCTCAAGGGAAAAGTTGCTGCCATAAAAGATCCTTAGATCCTTCCTTTGCTCTTCAGCCACTGCCTGCCTGATACTGTGCAAAAATCCTGGACTCTGGGCACATGGATTTTGCAGAGAACGAGAATGTAAGTACTCTGACAGAGCACATGCAGCATCTTGCTAACTAATATGTAAGTATGAAGGTCTGCAGGCCCTTCCTGGGTTGTGGAACCAGCACTCTGCAAATGAAATCCTAATCACAGGAGGAAAATGGCAGCTGAAAATCCCATCTACAATCTGTCAAGGTCTGAAAAATTGGATGTGCTGTGCTCTTCCACCAGCACTGGGGTGGGAGCATAGCATGGGGGAGAGGAGGGCTTTGCTGGCTGGCACCAGCTGTCAGAGCTGTTGTGTGTCCCTAGGTGCAGCTGCAGGATAGGAATGAGAGGCTGTACGGGCTCACAGACCTGCAGGAGAGGATGGAGAAGCTGGCTGGCTCCAAAACAGATCTGTCAGCCAGAATGGTCTTCAGTGAAGAGGAAAAACTGAAGGTAAAACAAAATCTTTAGGAGTTGGAGAGAACTGAGCTGTGAAGCCGTGTGAGGGTAGTAGATCTGCAGTGCAAAATCTAGTGGGAAATGTTTGGGTCTCTTTCTAAGGGTGTACATGTTGTGCTCAAATTCCCTGGTGCGACCTGTTGAAACAGTATCCTTTCTGTCTCCTAGATTTCCAAAGACCTTGTTGATCTCCAGATTGAGACAAACAAAATGAAGGAACAATATGAGACGGAGAACTTTGAACTGAAAAATATGGTATCCAAAAGTTCAAAGCAAAGTTGATTCATCTCTGCCAATACCTTTATCCAGAACCGCAGTTCGTTATGCATCCATCTTTGCTTTGCTTGGTGTATTCTCTTGGCTTTAGCTAGAGCAATGAATTCCCATCCTCTGATGCCCAGATACCATGAAACTTGTGGTAAACTCATCTCTCTCTAAGTCATAGTGTGCCAGAACTTGTTTGGCCAAATAAACGCCCTGTGATTGCTGCTGGTCTCTGCCACAGTCTCGTTCTGCTGCCTCCCCTCTGCAGGTCCTGGCCCTGGAGAACCGTGTGCTGGAGCTGGAGCTCTGCAGTAAGAAAGTCACTGGGGAGCGGGATGCCTTACGGGAACGTCTGCACACTCTGGAGACCAGTCGGAAGGAGCTGGCGGATGAGTACATAATTTTGAAAAGCAATTACCTGGCCCTAGGCAAAGAACTGGACCAGGAGGTGAGACAGGCTGCAGTGTTCATTCTGGTGTTTTCGACTCCATCTCACAATTACCTGATCTACAGACAGCTTGGCTGGCTTTGGGTTGCGTATCCATATCATGGCTCGGGTCCACAGTTGCCAGCTGTGAGGCAGCGTAGCTTGGCCGTGTTTTTTTTCAGTGCCCAGGGATTTCATGTAACATGGTCACCTTCCAGCAGGGCTTGCAGAACCTGCTCTGCTCAGCAGGGACAGTGCGGAGCCCACACTGCCCAGTGTGCTGTGCTCTTCTGGGCACCCTGCTATCAGACTCTTTCTCTTTTCACGCATCCCAAATCCCCGTCACCAGCAGTAACGAGGAGGTCACTGCGGGGCTGGTCTGAGTGCACGTTGCAGGTCCCTCTTGACTGCCAGCATGCTTTGTTTCCCTTTTTTCTGCATGGCTTGCGCAGGCTGCACGTGAACTGATTGTAGTCATTCTCATTTCGTATGGCGGTGGGAAGGGGCCTGGAAGTTTTTGAGGTCAGCAAGTTTATAAAAACACTGAACGTAAGCGAGTTTCTGATTGTCCCTTAAAATATAGTGAATTTCCTGGTGACTCTTAGCTTAGCAATTCTTAACTGAAGTCTTTTGGACCCAGATTTCTGTATTTCTCTGGCAAGAATAGCTACTTGAATAGACCTTCCTCTTTTCCCTTCCCCCCCTCTTTCTTTTTGAATTGGATCCGTTGACTGACACCCTCCTGCCTCCCTCCCCTGGCAGATAGTTTAGCTGGTTCAGCCAAATGACCTGGTTTACCATGCTGTCCCTGTGCAGAGCTGTGATGGGAAGATGTGGGGCTGGGACCAGGCATGCTGGTTTAGGCAGTGTCCAGTCTCTCTTTACAGTGAGCATCCGTCTGCAGAGCTCCGGAGGATACAAGGTCGTGATCATCCTGTTGCAAATAAGTGAGTTAGTGACTCTTGTGAAGCTATCATTTGTCTCTCGTAAGCTGAAAAATGGAAATGTCTTATGAGGAGGCAAGCTCAACTGCTTGCACGGGTGCGAACCCACCCTGTCGTCCTGCCAGAGCACGAGGCAGAGCGCGTGCAGCTGACTGTCAGCAAGGCAGCACGCTGCTGAGACACAGTACCACCAGGCTGCGGAGGAATAGCTCAGCATTCAGCAATCTTGGTTGCTTCTTGTCCCCAGGGAGGTGCAATATGTTTGTCAAAAATTGGATTTTCAGGTGGCTGACATCTCTAAATGATGGCTTTAACAGGTTGGTGGTAATAACACCCTGTTTTCACATGGATCCTAGAATCTTTCAGAGAGTGAAAGCACATGGATTCAGTTATGTGCCTGGATAGCATCCTGAAGGAGTGATGGAGCAGGGTCCAGAAGCCAAAGGTGAACTCCTTGGTTGTAATTCATAGGCTGAGGATTTTACCCCAGTTTCTTGGCTCTGACTACCGAATATCCTTGCCTGAAGCAAAAGAGGCTCCAACTTGGCAGGTTGGGACTTGTCGCGGCATGGGCCTCTTGCTCATTATTTTCCCAGTGTGGACTTTCCCAAAGGAAATGGGAAAAGCAGCCTGTGGTTCTGCCCCCTCCCCTTCCCCAGCGCTCTTCTGGGGAGACAATGAACCTTTTACACATTCCCAATTACAAGTGCTACTTGTGACCTTGCCAATATGTTGTCATGGCTGCTTGGCGCAGAAGCAGCTCGGGGAGCTCATTCACGGTCCCTTGTACGGGAACAGTTAGAGCCTCTGAATTGTCACGGCCCCCATTGTACGGCTCAATTCACACATTGCCCTGTGTCTGTCCCAGGCGAAGGAGCACGGTGGAGCTGGCCTTGCCTGTCCCTGGGGAAGTGCCTTCCAGAAGATGCCAGTCAGTCACTTTGTGCCTGTTTTCTAACTCACTGTAAATTCTTCCTTTTCAAGACTCTGACCTTTTCTTGACTCTCCGTTTCCTCCTCCTCTTTTGTTCAGTGGGCTTATGCCATCTGCATCGGCGGTACAAAGTGAAGCTGTCGGAGGGAACCCAAATGGCTGCGAACCGGTTCCACACCAGGGTTTTCCCTGGAGCCAGGCCAGGGGAGGCAGTGAAGCCCATTGCAGACCTGGGACTGCCTCTTTCTTTCACCAGGCTGGTACTTCTGTGCTTGTGTGACCCCCTCTGATCAAATTGTCAGGGCTGACAGCTGCAGATGGATCGTTTTTGGTTGGAGAACAAGTAGCCTGTCTCTGCGTAGCTGTCAGTTTTCGCAGCTGTATATCTCACCTCTTTGTCAGCCTCTTTTCTCCTCTCCTCTCTCCCTCAGCCCACCCTGTGCTATCTTTTGATAAGCTATTCTCTCCACGGATGACTCAGATGACCTCTGCCTCCCATCCTCCCGATTCACTGCCATGGTAACAATTACTCAAGCTTGTCCCCAGTCATAAACCCCATCAAAGCTTTGTTATCTACATAGAAACCCTCCCGTGAGACATGAATTCCCCCAGTGTTCCTTCCAGATCACCTGTAACAGAGCCTTTCTCATTCAGATCCTCTTTATCTTTTGGAAATGTGTCACTTCACACCAGCATCACTTTGAATCTCGCTGCCTACACGGTACTGTGGGCTGGCTGCTGCTGGAGGGATGCATTCAAACAAAACTGGAATTAGCTGGGTGGCGTCAGCCTAGATGGATGGAGATTTGGCCCTTCTCTTACATTATGGAATCCAGCACTGTTCAAAGCCATTGTATGGGGAAAGACATGCCTGAAGTGTTGAGAAGCTGCGGGGGGTGCAGGGTTAGGGTGAGGAGGGAGGCTGAAGGTCAGGATGGAGAGGTGGTGGCAGAGCTGTGCCCAGGGCTGGGCTGGCACGGGGATCTGTATCTGAATGTGAGAGCGAGATGGGCAGAGCGAGTAAGGTTACATGTGAATAATTCTGATGCCTGGCAATGATACTTACCCTGCATTTCCATGAGAATTAGAAAATCACTGATATCTTTGGGCATATGAGAGAGAACTAAAAATAAAACTTGCTTTCAGGAGGGGATGTGAGTGCCTGCCTTTTGTACACACCAAGAGTAGCAGGTATGTGCTGAACAGACAGTGTGTGGAGCCAGTGAGGCGGGATTTCAGAAACTCTTTCCTTCTTGTTTGACCTGGCAGGTCATGAAGAATGAAGAGCTCAGCCTAGAGCTGCTCAATCTGGCCAATGCCAGGAGCACCCTTCCCTGCACAGAGAGCGACCACTGCCACTCCCCTGCCATGGCCAATGAATCCTCTGCCGAGCTGGAAAGAGTACGAGCAATGGTGCGCCGTCTCTCGGCTCGGAAGGTGAAGGTAAGGACCTCTCTGCCCTGTTGCCAGCTCCTTGGAGAACAGGGATATTACAGGTACCTTCTTCTGTCTCTTACTAAAACCAGCCAGAAGATGTAGTTGCCTCTGAACACGAGCGGCAAAAGCTGGAGAGAAACGTGAGTGTATGTGCTGCTGGATCCTTGGGGAAGCAGAGGGGGAATTTATTCCTACTGGCTGGCACCTCCTGGTGCTAACTTGAATTTTGTGGATGAGCTGGTGCCTTGATTTATTTTAGTTTTTTTTTAAGCTGTGCAGTTGAAAAATGAGACTAGAATACCTCCAGCTCTTGTGGAGGCAAAAGCTGAGAGAGGGCAGCTGTGGTTCCCTCTGTCAGTGCCCTTGGGTGAACAGAGGCAGGAGCTTAGAAGTCCACAAGTGCAGAGGAGACTTCATTATTTTCTCCTTGTCATTACCTGAGAAAGATGGGGGTGATAAAGCACCTGAAACTGAGAGCACTGAGATGCTCCCTGCCTCCTTCCCATCTGCAGCCTATGCAATACCAGCGTGGGCTACGCCACCAGCTCCTGCTAGGAATCTGACTTGCAGAGCAAGACTCTTCCTTGGGGGAACAACACATGTGCACCTCCATGTGCTCTATCTCCAGAGCACACACCATTTCTGGTGTGCTACAGAGCACTGGTCACTCCAGTTAAGCAGTCCTTTCCCCAGTATGTCACTGGTCAGCTGGACTTGTGCTCAGCTGGAGGCTCTCCTCGCTTCTTCCCTGTTCACGAATCCCTTTGCTTGGCTCAGCCCTCTGTCTCATCTTCCTCTTCGTTTGTCCCTCAGTTGCTTGGAAACCAGGATCACATAAAAGTGGAGCTTGAAAAACTGAAGAAAACCTATGATTTGCAGCAGCAGAAGCTGGAAGAGAGAGTGTGAGTGTTTGAGGGCAAATCCTTCTGTTTGGCTGGACATTTGTGGAGCTCATTGCAGCTGAATTTGATCCTTGGGCACAGGAGAGGAGGCAGCCTGCCTTTGGTGGAGCACAGGGTGGGAAATGATGATTCACCCTTGGAACAAGCAAGGCCTAGAAGCAGATGTTTTCAAGGCTCTTAAGAGGGTCAGCTGTCTTCTTAAAAGTCAGTGGTGTTTAGGTACCCAACTGGCCTATGCACCTCTGAAAATCCACTTTCTGTGACACACACAGCAAATGTGTGACAGCCCACAGGTGAATCCAGCCCTAGCCCTTGCACCCACAGCAGTTCTTCCATCGACAGGCTGGGATGGTGTTGGTGTCTGGCAAAGGCTGCCACAGCAGGGATGCTGGAGAAATAGACCCCCTGACTGGGGAGGACGTTCACTTTTGGTTGCAAGAGCTCTGTGGCCACTGTTTGGCACGCAGCTGGTGGGGGCTGGCAGCTGCTGCTGCTGAGACGTTTCTGTCATCCCATAGTGATTTCCTTCTCAAAGCTGGCTGTATTGGACCTACAGAGAAGTTTGGGGGGTTGAAATAAACACACTTTCTTCCTGTGTGCCCAGGATTGCAATGGGGAAGGAGCTGCAGGAGGCGAAGGGAGCAATTGGGGACACGCAGCACAAGCTGGCGGAGCAGTCAGCGGTAAGGGCAGGCTCCCTTCCAGCCCCCGGCACCCAGGACTGCCCCTGCTCATCCGCTCCTCCTGGGTGCCATGCACTTCTGGAGCTAGCAGGGGGTGGATGTCTTGCACTGAGGTACTCCGACACATCTCCGTCTCCAGGGAGTTTGTCATACCAAGGTGCTCCTCCCTGCACAGTTTCCTTCTCCAGGGGTGCAATGCACATGGTGGAAGGTGCTGCTTGCCACAGGTGGTGGGAGGAATTTTATTCACTGATATTTAGAAAAGGTTGGTGAAATCACCGCAGGGGGATTGCAAATGACAGAAGGTAGCAGGGGAATAGAGACTATAAACATTTCCAGTGGGCTCCTGTGAAAACCCAGGACCTTAGCAGCTCTAGTGAAGCTGAATATCTGGAAATTAAATCCCCCATCTCATGCAGCTTCGTAGTGCCCCTTGCTTGGCCAGAGGACGAGGGCAGCAGCGAGCATGTTTGCTGTGCCTAGGTGCTGCTCACCTCCCAGAGCCAGCTCCAAGAGGTGGAGGCAGAGAACTCCCGGCTGCAGCTCCGGGTGAAAGAGCTGAACGAGGAATATCGCTCCCGGCTCACGCAGTACATCAAGGACATGGCGGTGGGTACCCCCAGACCCGGGGGCTCTCCTGGCTTGAAGAGGTTCTCTCCATGTTGGCTGCCTACGTCTTGCAGGCTGCTGCTGTTTCCCCTCCTTGCTGGGCTGCCGAGCAGAGCAGGCAGTGGGGTTTGGGGAGCCATGGTTGCAGCTGGAAGGGGGCTCTGCCCCCTCAGCTTGGCCTGGGGGAGGAGATGCCAACCCCCCCTCCTCACCCAGACTTCCTGTATGGCCACACTAAAGGGCCTGTGAGTTTCTGCTGGGACTTTCTTTCGTGGTCAGATTACTTGGATTGAAAGATCCTCTTATTTACAATGGCTGCCTTCCAGTTGGCTTCTAATCTCCATTGCCCTGACAACTTCCCTTGGCAGGCCAGGCAATGCCACTTTTGGCTTTGTCACTGCCTCCATGGTGACTCTGCTGCTGTCCCTGGACAGAGCTCTGCCAGCCTCTGTGGTCAGCTACTGAGCCATGTAATGGCAGTGCCTCGGACCCATTCTGGGAACAAGCACCTTTGACGTAGAATAGGACCCCCAGAGCATCGTGAGGACTCAGCACAAGGCAGCATTCAGGCAGGTTCAGGCATGGATACCTGATTATATTGAGCAGTAATACTAGCAGGAAATCTCTTTCTAGTCCCTTGGTAGCAGTAAGCAGATTTGGGTAAGAGCTTCTGTGCTGGGAGAAGGCTGGTACCAAAGAACGCGGTGTGGTGATGGATCAGGAGAATAAGCAAAGCAATTTTTACTATTAAGAATAGTTCAATTTCTAACAGAGCGATGTTGAAGCATCTCCTAGCTAGCAGAGAGAGTGGGGCACAGGGGAAAAAATACAGGACTAGAGATGGTAACTCCCAACGCCGACTCGTGTTTCCCTAGGCAGGTCACTGATAGAGTACAGATGCCTTCTCTGTCTTGAAGGGCCATGATGGAAGCTAATTTGTCTTTTCTGCTCCTAGAAAATGGAAGATATGCCCTAATGTCTGTGCTGTTAGCACAAATATTCCTGGACCTTCTCTGTGGGAAATGGGTTACATGCCTTAGGGAACAACTTGATCACCTCAATTGCTTTCTCTGTATGTTTAAAGGACTACATGGACAGCAAATCCAGCAACATAACGGGGCCTAGCAAAGCCCCAGCTGATCGTGCTCACATGAAACGCTTGGTAGACAGCATGCTGAAGGATATCAGGGCTTCCTACAAGTCTCGGGAAGAGCAGCTAGCTGGAGCGGCACGTGGCTACAAGAAACGCATGAAGAACTTGGTCAAGAAGCATGAGAACCTGCTGATTGCTTATGGGTAGGGCTAAGCCAGGGTCTGGGCTGCCTCTGTCTCTTCAGCTTATTGCTAAGGACCAACTGGAAGTGCCTCATAGCACGCAGCCCCCTTGCTGAGAGGGAGGCAAACAGGGCTCCCAGGTGGAGCAGCGGATCTGGGGTGCATGTTTATCTCCTTGCTCTTGACAAGCCAGGAGCAAGGTGTCTCCAGCTACACATCAGGGTGCTGTGGACACCCTGGAGCTGCTTGGCACATACATTTCTTCTGTGTAAAATTTAGGGTGAGAGATTGATTCCACATTGGATGGTGTGGAAATGCAGAGGTACCACAAATAACTCCTGCCTCCCAGCCTGTCCCTGCAGTGTTCTCAGCTCTGCTCCACAGCTCTCTCAGCAGCTTGGGCTGTGGGAAGCAGCAGAAATTCTTGTGGCATAAAAGCCACAAATAGCTCTAGGACAAGCTCCCCTCAGAAACACTGCCAGGAATATTGTGCATACTGCTGGGCTCTCCCACTTATCCTTTGCAGGTGGACTGGCTCTGGGTGGCCAGAAGCCAGCAGATCCCAAGCAAATGGTACCTCCATCAGCAGCAGAAATGCTAAATGTTGTTACCTAACCAGAACTACCAGGGACTAACCCCTCTGGCATGTTACAGGCTCCAGCGAGAGCAGATCCGGTCCTTGGGCACCAGCGCTATGGATTGTGGCCCTGCCGAGCTCCACTTTTCCATCACAGACCCAGAGCTACTGACAAACACAACCCGGGAGCTAAACCGGCTGCGGGAGGATAAAGCAAAACTGGAGATGCAGCTACATGAATTGCAGAAGGTGGTGGCTGGGCTGCTGGCTTTCTGTGGGGGTGAAGCTGGGGGGCGGTGGGGAGAGTCTCACAAGCAGTAGATTCATCCCCTTCCTTAGGCATTCCCTATGGCACAGACAGGGGTAGTGCTTGCTCACTTTCTTATTTTGGGAAGAGACAGGATGTCCAAGCAGTGTCCTCATTTCTTCAACCCTGCTGCATAGGGGTGAGTTACAGTTAGATCCAGGAGGCTGGGCAGCCCCATAGATTGGGGTCGCTGAGCTCTGGGAGGGCTGAGGACTAGCAGATGTTATGGGAGAGCTGCCAGGCCAGCCGACTGACTCACTTGCTAAAAGAAGAGGTGAGTAAGGGAGGATAGGATGGGGCTTTCTGTTCTTGAATGCCTTTGCCTCAGCGCAAATAGCTAACTGAGCAGGAGACCACACTCAGAAAACTGCCAGTCAGCTCCACGTCCTCCCACTGGTTCTGCCTGGGCAGAGACATGTCTCTTGATTTGTGTGAGATACATTTATTTAAAAACTCAGAGGATGGGAGACCTAAACCTTAAGATTGTGCTGCACAGCAATTCCTTGCCAGGGCACTGGTGGCTGTTAGAGTGCTAGGATATGCCACTTCAAAGTGGTAGGGACTGTGCTGAGATTGCAATGGTGTAATGCTTACAGGAATACTGTTCTTCCTTTACCTTCAGAAAAGACTGAAAGAAACCTCTGGCTTTCCACTGTCTGCTGAGCAGTAAGTGATGTTTGTTTCTCAGGATATTTGTAACTCTGAAATCTCCTTGCTCTGTGGATTGAGGAGTCTTTTCTGCTTTACTTGGAGATGGTAATAAATAGGGAGAAAGCAAGCTGATAGGGACTCATCTGAGAAGAAAAGCCAGCTGTCATCTCAGTGCAGCATTTCCTGTGGTGAAATGAGTTGGTCATTTATGCCTTGATCCAAAAGAGCTCTTAAGCCTTAAGCGCATGTTTGATTTAATCATGTTTTTAGTCCCACTGATCTCTTTAGAAGCTGAAGTTAAGCATATGCCCAAGTGCTTTGGTGGATCACAACCTGAGGAAAGGCAAGCGAAACACCACTTTGGGACAGTCTTGTTTCTCCTCCCTGCCAATGCAGAAGCTGGGCTGGAACCCTTAGGTGACCCTGTATCGATACCTCCCTGGCTTCTTGACATGCCCTTTATTTGCTCATTTTTGGTGGGTCTCTTCCCCCTGCTCTGTTAGTCTGTTGAAACTCTATCAACTATAGCTGTGGAGAGGTAGAACAAAGTGTAGGAGAAGTCTGAGCCGGAATTTTTCAGCCTTTTAAGATGCAGTAGCCTAGAAAACATGTTAGGTATTTCAGTGACTGGATGCCAGCAGGGAGGAGTCAGTCAGTGCCTGAGCCACAAGGGTCCAGAGGAGTGTCTTGGAGAAGAACTTGAGCCTAACCAGGCTCTGCCATGCTGAAAAATAGTAGTAGTCCTTGAAGAGATGCATTAGTTTTGGCAGACTTGCCACAGGACAAGACAGAGAAGTACCAGAACCTGCATTTTAGTGATGCATATTGTTAAGGTTTTTATAACTGTCAAGAGACTCTACACACTTCAAATACTTGTTTTCTGTGTGCTGATGGGTCTTACCCATGCCATTACCCTGCTCCTCTAGCTAGAGACATGAAGCCTGGTGTAACCACAGCACTTCAGCTATAACTCCTGCTGCTTCTAGTCTTTATCAGCTGTGCGGCTGCACCGTTTATTGTTCCCCTCGCTTCTGCTCCCATGAAATCTCAGCCATAATTTCCAATGTGCCTGGGCTGGGAGGCTGCAGCCACCAGAGGGAACTCTGGCAGTTGCAGCAGAGCCACTCTTGAGCACAATGCATTCCTCCCTTCATACAGTCCAAATTCCCCAAGCATCAGATGTGACCTGTATTTTGCTTATTCAGACTGGGACAGAATAGGAAGAACTTTCCCACGGCTGGGCTGCACAGACAGCTCACCTATCACGCTCAGCGACCAGAACGGGTGGGTTTGTGCTCCGAAACATGAAAAGCACCAGCGTTTGGCATTGATCTCACTCTATTTCCACCAAATTCAGTCCTGCAGTGTCAGGTTAAGGACTTTTTCTGTACAGAGTCCTCTGATGCATGAGTGTTGATGTGAACTTGGAACAGACCCAGCCATCGCAGTGGGGAATCCCAGGTTGGCAGAAGGGCTGTGACTCTCATGCGCGGGCACAGAAACAGCGCTGCATGCCCTGAAGTTTGGGGCATCAGGAGAGAAAAAGGTTCAGAGTGCTGGGTTTTATGGTTGGATGGGCACGAGTTGTGTCCAGCCCCAGAATAGAGCTGAGCAACCTGTAGATGGGCTGGATTTGAATGTCTGGGCATGACCAAAATCTGCTTTTTTCTCCTAGGCAGCTGGATGAGGAGGGCTGGGCAGAGGTCAGGAAGCAGCTCCAGGAGTTCACACACACCATCCAGGTAAAGGTCTGGAACAGCCCATCTGAAAAAAGCTTATCCCTTACCCACATGTCAAAGATGTGCTGCCCCAGCCTGGCACTGCCCTGGGGCCAATACGCTGCTCCAGGCTGGAGTTTTCCACGGCAGCCTTGCTGTGGCTTTGGCCTCAGCCCACCAAATGACGCTAGTAGGTCCCTGGCCGGTAATGTATCGAGGCTGTACTTTCCCTGCTACTAAAAGAAGGAGAGCAGCCCTTGTGACTGCTCATTGCTGGACTGTATTGCTCCCTCCCATGTTTCAGCACAAGCATTTAGGCCTCTGTATAACAAACTGGGTCTGTATTCAACATGGTTCTAGTCTGAATCTGAATCAGCTTCCCAGTCTGGTTCCCCCTGACTGCAAGGTTATTTGTGCTGCACTCGGGAATGGGGTGGCCCAGAGCAGGGAGGAGAGCTCGCTCCATCCACAACGCTGCCCTATAGCACTCATGAAACTGTGGTGATGCTCGCTAGGAGCGGGTTTGCCTGAGGTGGGGTTTGCTGTACTGGCAGTGATGGCAGCAGTGGGAAGAAGGATTGGTGCTGGGATCCCTACCATGCTGAAAGCCACACACAGGGAAAAGGGCTTTGGAAACAAAGCAGAGGTTCAGTTTTCTGTGGTAGACAAGGTTATAGATGTTCTACCAGCCCGCTCCCATGTCATGCCTTCCTCTGTCCATACTGACCTAAGGAAGTGCTCCACCATTCTCTGGTGACGTAAAGCTAAACACCTAAATTGTGTGTATCTTTGTGTCCAAAAGAAGGGACATGCCATGGCTGAGAGGCTGGAGCACTGCACTGAAGCAGGTCCTGCTCCTGGCTCTGCTGTGCGTCTTGGGAGTGAGCTCAGTCAAGCACTTCAGATCCTCCTGGTGACACAGGGATTGTACAGTTAACTTGGGTAAGGGGGTGATCTGCTGCCAGAGACACTGTGCAAAAAAACCAAATGCTTTTTTATCTAAAAGAAGGGCAATTCCCTTTGCAACAAACTACCGATGGAAAAGTGTGAAAACTGTGTCCAAGCGCCAAATCTAGCGACTGCTCCACCAGTTGTGAAGTCTCTGGGGGAGTTAATGATGGCACAGCAGGCAGGGGTTACTGGCCTGTCCTGGGGTGGCCCTGGGCCCCACGCCTGCACTCTGGTCAGGGAAGGCTGCCTGGTCTGCCCGGCTGATGCCCTGGAGTGGTGGTGCCTGCAGAAAGCTGCACTATCGTCACTAGGCTCCTTTCCTCGAGCCCATCAGTTTGCGGTTGCTTCTGTAGCCTAACACCAAATGGTGCCAGAGCCAAGTGATGGGGAAGTGGTCAGCCTCACCTGGCAGAGAGGGACTGAGCCACTTTGCTCCCATCTCAGAGAGCTCCCTGTTTTGTCCATGTTTCTTTGCCCCTCCAGGAGGATTTGGAGCAGGAGAGGAGTCAGCTGCTGACTCGGGCAATTGTGGCAGAAGAGCAGGTGTCAGAGCTGCAGGAATACATAGATAAGCATCTTGCAAGGTGAGATGGTAGGATCCCCCTTCACATGTTCTCTGCTTTGTGCTCCAAGTTTAACTCTCAGGCTAATTGCCGGCGACATCGCTATGCCCGCCACGCTGTTGGCGCCTGACCTCGCCACTGCCTTCCCACAGCGCTGCCGGCATGGCTGATGTCCTGCAGCACATCCAGCTGTGCAGGCAGCTGCCACCATCCCTTCTCTGCAGCATGGGGGGGGCAGTGTCTGGCTTGCCCTGCTACACGTCTCCTTCCCTGTGCACTCACCCATCCTTGGAGGGAGCTAAGAGAGGGGTTGCCTAAAATCCAAAGCCTTCCAGCAGCCCCTGATCTACAGTCCTCTCCCGCTGGCTCATCACACACTGAAGCAGGGGGAACAGCTTCTTGGGCAAGGAAGAGCGAGAACAAGCAGGGCACATCTGTCAGAGCAATGGTCCAACTGCGCCTGCTTTAACTCCCCAGACAGCTCAGCTGTGAACTTGGGTCAGACTCATGGGCTTTTTGCTGGTACCATTACCTGGCAGAGCTGCCAAACACCTCTTCCTTGGGAAAAGGCTGTGATTTTATATCTGCCGTGGCTCAGTGCCTGGGCTGGCTGGTCTCAATTAACTGACACTGTGTGTCTTAGCATGCAGCAAACACAAGGCAAAGTGTACATTTAAATTTATTGCTCCTGTGTGTGAGCTGTCAGCAGGGTGACCACACAGGCAACAACAGTGCTGTTTCCCCACTGCAGGTACAAGCAGGAAATCCTCCGGTTGAGGAAGCTTGCTGGCAGAGAGGTGCCACGTGTGCTCAGTGCTGGGGCAGCTGATACTCACTCACTGCCCAGAGCCAGGACTGTCAGCCACCAACCATAGCTCTTCCCCACAGCTCCAAGAAGCGGCACGATCACAGGAAAGAGCAGGATTTAAAAGGAAGGAGCTTTCTGTTGTGTGGGCTGACCACAGCAAGTATCCTTCCCTGGCTGAGAGCTGGGAGGCACAGTGAGGGAAACCACGTGGGTGTTCTCAGTCTCAAATTAACAGTACTAAAATGGGATGAGACAACTGTGTCTCGTCTATCCTCTGACCCCTCAGCTGTAGGAATTCTGCTGTTCCCTGAGCACATCACGCCTTGGGACATGGGGTTATGTTCCCAGGCTGCTTTTTACTGTGGGGCTGCAGGCACAGGTTCCCATTTCTGCCTCCTAGGACGCTGCCATAACATTTCTCCTGGGTCAGACCTAGATCGGAGTCCAAGGGCTAACTCTGCTCCTGCCTTTGCTCCCTTCTCTGCTTCTAAGAGATAAGGCCAGGTCTGGTTCAAACTAGACTTTGGTCTAAGAGGTTAGACAAAGGCAATGAGCTGCTCTTTTATGGTGGGAAAACTTTTTTTTCCTCTGTGTTTGAGTGGAAAAGGGAATGTTATGTAAGGTGAGCAGGGCCAAACTGATC